GTGGTCAGAGGAGCCACGTGCCGTGTGCCGCGACACTAACTCTGCTCTCCTGGATACGCAGGTACCTCTGTGCTGCAGGTGACGGCTACCGATGCAGATGACCCTACGTACGGAAACAGTGCTCGGGTGGTTTACAGCATCCTGCAGGGCCAGCCCTACTTCTCTGTAGATCCTAAAACAGGTCAGTGTGTTTCCCACTAATCCTGCTAGGTGTGCGGGTGCGGCTGCACGGAGCTATTGCTGTGTTCTCATTTCTATGGTTATTTCTTTTCAGATATAGCTTCCCCTCATGGCTAGAACTGTGTTCACTCTTTCAAAAACAATGTCATTGAATAAAGAAAAATGTGATTTTATTTTTGGTGCTACACACTATACACACATCAATAAAGTCAAGTTGCCTTTGAGTGGTTCTGTGATATATAAATATTGTTTAGAACAAAAATATAAAATATTATATAAATTGAAGGATATACAGTATTTTTATACTTACTATTTTTAATTATTTGGCCGAGGAGTAAGCAATGTTTTCAGAATTTTTCATAATTTGTTTAAATCTGGTTATCACATAGCTTGTAACACACACACACACACACACATAGGTTTATAAAACAGTATTATTGAGCTGAGGAAACCACTATGACTTGAGTTGGGTTGATTTTTTATAGTAAGTTAGCTTCTTTAGTCCTCAGATACTGAATTGCTTAAAAGAAATTTGTGGAGAGTTACTCTAAAGGCATATTTTTTTCTTGTAAGAATATAAATTCTATTCTCTTTTCTTTTTCCCTGACAAAAAAAAATACATCATATTACATCTGAAAACAGAAAAGAATGGTACTAAATAGTTCATCACGGTGTGTATTACATCAGCATATTCTAAAAGCCATGGAAAGCAGAAGCTTTCAGTAACAAAATATTTTCACTAAACCCCAAGAAAAAAATGGGTTTTGTCAGCATCATATTTGTAAGGAGAGTCATCTGGGTCGGCTGCCATCTGTCCCCTTGTCTGTGTGGTGCTTTGGCATGTAGCTTCGCTGCCAGAGCGATCTCTGAGGCACAATGCCTGGTGCCTGATGCGTACATTGTTTATAAATGAAGGGTTGACATACGCACAGGTACGTATCTACACATTTGGGGGTACAAATTACTGATTAAAATGTATCATTAAATGAGGTAAAGTAGTAAATGGAAAATATTAAAATAAGTAATATAATGAAGTCTAAAATGAATATGTAACATAAATGTTCTTTCTGTAACAAAACAAACTTAATCATTGGAAACATGTTTATTAACTTAGCAATCAAGTCATTTTGTAAATATCTCATTTTGGTGAACAAAAATATCCATATGCATGAAAAGGAGCTTGGAATCAGTGAAAGCCTAAAAAATTCATTAGTTGATGCACTGCTAGTTTTGTTTTTTTCCCAACAATTATGTTTTAGTACTGTCAGTCTGGTGCAGTTTGTACTGTATTTTTCCTTCTAGTTGGAAATCAGGTTGAAATCTTGTTTCAAATATAATAGAAATATTGCTCTCATTTTCAACATATAATTTCTTAAAGAAACAGGATAGTAAATGTCTTCCTTGCCAACTATAGTTAGCACTGTATGTCCATGAGTTATAACCATAGCGTCATATTCCCACATATTCCTATTATATATAACCGCATGTTTATTCATTAATTAATGTTATATTTACATAATAGAATATTGTTAAATTATAGTATTATGCATGGGGTATGTCCTAAATTTGAGATCATTTATTATGTATGTTATTGGTTTAAAAAAATCTTTGTGTCAGACAATGTATTTTTTCATGTTTGCATACATGTTTTACACTTACATGTTATACATGCACATGGATAGCGAAATAGGGCCTCTGACAGCAACAGTAACTAGTTTGTGCTTGGTTTGATGGAAGCAAGTGGACTGATAACGAATTTAAAAAGTAATTTGGGTGTATATAATTATTATAAATTAAGTACATTTTTCATTTGTCAACAAAAATATTTATCTCAAACACAGCTCCTTACTGCATATCTGAATTATGAAACTATGATCTGGGCATTTCTTTGCTCCTTTTCATAAATGATGTGTTGAATGAACTGTACAGCTCCAGGTTGATATGTTTTAATGCCTGCATTACATCAGCGGATTCATCCTGGGAACCTATGGAGATATATCCTACTGACTCTAGCAACAAGGGAATGAAAGGTTTTTAAAGGGCTTTAAATAAGCAAGTGCCTTAGTCAGGAAGTTATTTGTAGAAAGTGTTAAGAGGGTTATAAAACAAAATGCTCATTGTCTTCAAAGCTAAGTTGTTTTTTGTAATTTGTGCTTAAAATTCCTATTACTGTGTAATTAAACATGCTCAGAATTAATGAATTTAGCTCCAATTGTGTCTTAAAATGACTGGAGTAAAATCCAGACAACACTGAGAAGCACTCAGTTCCTCTCAATGGAGTGTTGCATTATGTAAGAAGTGTGCAGTAGTTGTCACCTAAGGGTGTGTTTTAACAGTGCCAATTTGGTCTATCTTCATAATTGAAATGATTGCATTTCTGTACATTTCCAATTGCTTTCATGAAAGATCAATTATAAAAGATAATGTTTATGCCAAAATAAAGTACAGTGTCAAGTTCTTATGACTAATAGAAGAATTTATATTGCTTTGATTCCATTGTTAAAAGAGGTTTTCTTTGTTTCTTTTTTTTTTTTTCATTTTGTGTATTTGGTTCAGGGTCTCACTACACAGCTTGGACTCATAGTGATCCTCCTGCTTTCAGCCTCCCTAGCACTGGGATTACAGGAGAGTGCCACCACGCCCTGACGCGGGTTCAGTGTGCCCCCAGGCAGGGCTGACGCAGCATGTGGACTGGGGATTGAACCCTGGTCCCTAAGCTTGCCGAGGCAGGTGCTTAGTCCACTGCGCTATCTTGTCAGCCCAAAAATACATTTCCTTATCCATCATTATTTTATAATGAGGAGCTTCCAATGAGAACTTGTATTTCTATTACATAACTCATCAGTAAATTACTGTATCCAAAGAAATGAGATTTATAGCAGTTGAATATATAAATATATTAAATGTTTGACTTAGTGTCTCAGACATTTATTCTAAAATCTGATTAATCATTATAGTGAAACACAAATTTTCTGAGAAATTTATTGTTCTGACTAACTTCTATCAATGCGTCTATGACACAGTGCGGCTCTGTATAAAAAGAGCAATGATCATCTAAAATTATGTTTTAAAAAGTGATTACCATCTTAAAGGTGCAGAAGACTATAACTAGGAGATGCTAGAAAAACACACTATTTCTGACTATATTAAAGAAAACATTTGCAAGTAAAACTAAAATTAACAATAAATAATAGATTAAAGGGCCTGGGAGGTAGCTCAGGGAGTAAGTGCTTGCCCAACAAGCTCAAGGTCATGGTCGTGAGTTTGATCCCGAGTGCCACCAAAAAAATAAATAAAAAATGAAAGATAATGGATAAAACCCAAGCAAAGCATTTTGAGGAGATATGTGTGCTGACTGAGAAAATCATATTAAGTAATAAAAGAGCCATATTCAAGAGAAATCTGGGAGAATTTTTGTGTATTAACACAACTCAAATGTTAAACCTACCTCAGTTAGCATAATACCAACTCTATTAAAAATAATCAATGTGTTCAAGATTTATGTGCTACTTAAATGCCATGAAATTTCTATCTAGTGGCAGCTGCTGAAGCTGGTGATCTACTTGCTGCATGAAGCAACTACGGTAATTAGCTTTATTTACTCCCCCAAACACAGTGTAGATCCATCTGGGCTCATTCCAAGGCCTTAAAAACAAAATGAATGGGTTATGTGAAATGCCACATGCAGTTCTAACTGGGCATAGAAAGTTGTGGAACGGCCGTCGTTTGCGAGGTACTTGGTGATTTTCTATGAGCTGTTTCACAGACACTAGCAGAGGAAGAGCTAAGAGCTTCCGGTTCCCTTTGGCACGTAGGGCTGTGCCTGTTTCAGAGATACTGAGTCCTCGTCGTCAACTTAAGAAATCTGAAGCCTTGAGTGATGACAAGACGTCCAGAAGGATACACTGGCTTATGCACTCCTGGCTCTACAGAAGTTTACATTGCAAATGGCAGACATTACTTAGTGCCAAATGCTGTTAGCTCAGTCCTTAGAAAAATATAAGTATTCAGTAAAGTACGCTTCTCTCCTTTCTTTAAGTTTGACAAGAATTCTCAAGATTACTGCAGGACACACAGCTATGAGAGTATAAATATTATTTTCTGAAATAGAAGAAACTATTATTTTATTTGGCATAGGTTAATTCCCCATACTCGTATATAGTTTTAAAAAGAGTATCATTTGTTATCATTTGTGCAAAAAAAAATTTCATTGCCAGTATTTTCAAGAAAGTTTTACAAAACTGATAAATAAAATAAGCTACTAGAACTTGAAAAGTAGGAAAACGTTAGGCAGTGCGATACTCAACATGTTATCTTGGAGTGTATAGCTCTGGCTCGTGGTGGTGTCCGTAGAGGAGCTGGAGGTGTCCCATCTTTGAAATGAGTCAATAGTGAACTGGTCTAGATTGACACTATGTTTCTGTAAGATAATCTTGTGTTAACGTCTTGTAGTAGAAATCAGTCAGCCATAAAAAGAACTCAGTGATAAACCTTAATGAGTCTTGTAATTGAAAATACTGCTTTAGCATTTTTGTTCCTGCCCTTCATGATGTAATTAAAGCCACAGCTACTTTCTCTTATCTGTAACCTCCTCAGATTTCTTGAACAAAGAGCACAGACACTAAAGTTAAGCAAAATGTCTATGAATGATTGTAGGCACGATGCAGAGCACTCTTTAGATCTCTATGGATTCCAGTATTAATTTTATAATATTCTAGATTGAAAATTAACAAGTGTTTTCTGCTTCAAATCACTGACAAATACTTATTGATGATTGAGAATAAAAGTATTTAAATTATGGTCCATGATATTTACCAAAGTTAGAGGATTCTATGAATATACTTTGTCAGTTCACCCTCTTTGTTGACCATGCTTTATAGAAAATAATAACAAAGAGATAATAGTTGATGGCATAGTTACATTTTTAAATTTAATATAATTGACTATGTAATAGGCAAAAATCAATTCATTACCAACCCCTGAACCAAAAAAAAAATCTTC